AAGAGCCACTTAAAACCCGGCTGTGCATTTGACTCTCACTAGATGCACATGGTCATTGGTATGGCACACCGTTCGGCATCGTCCACTAGCTCGTCCGCTCGCGGTCTTGCTATCCGACCCACCCGCCCGCTTCCTCAATCCCCCCTAGCCTCTGCTTTGCCTTCCGCATGCACGAATCCGAACTGGATCCAGTACATGAAGGGATGCGTACGTAATACGGTCGAATGAACTGAGGTGAAGTGGTGCTTCTGTTGTCGTCTTGATGTCGTTCGTTTCGAAAAACGCCCACGGATAACAAGCTACTTTCTCGGTCGAAATGGTATTCCGGTGAACCCCGACCCCCCGCCGTCCACCATAATCTGTAAACAACGGTCCAAGGAACGATGGGATTTGCATGCAGTAGAAAGCAATGGAATCGACAACAGGAGTTGAACAAGAATTCGAACACCTTTTGTCATCATTCTCATACAATGGAGCAAATATTCATATGCACGAAACAAATCAATCCAGTGAAAGCAAAACTAATGAATAGTAACGTAATAATTACGGTTGAAATACGTACATGTACTAAATTCTCTTGTCGTTTGCACTTTGCAACAAAACGATTGGTGATCAACGATGATAATGATGATGGCTCGGATGATGACGATGATGATGATGATGATGATGATGATGATGATGATGATGATGATGATGATGATGATGATGATGATTCGGATGATGATTCGGATGATGACTCGGATGATGACTCGGATGATGATGATGATGACTTGGATGATGATGATGATGATGATGATGATACAGTATGACAATTTACATTGCACCAGTTTTCCAATTTCCTCCAACCAATCTGGAAAATACGCCCGTTTATTCAGCCTCTAATAATTTAAGGGAAATGTTCTACACAATTGCATGCACAGTCGAGGGTCGACTTGTGCGCATGTTTTTGTTTGTATGCATGATTTTGAAACTGTCATCTGGTGTGCATGAGTTCACCAAAGTAACGATTTTGGCGGCTCTGTGTTGATAGACATCAAAGCATTGTACATGTGACGTGAAGAACCAAGCGCGCGCACACACACGAACAAATGTACACGTACAAACTCGCTGAAGACGCATTTATACATTCCCAAACATTCGTTTCAGTGCGCACTCAAGTCCACCCAGAACGAGCATACAGATTTGTGTACACACAGACACACACACACACAGAAATGCACAAGTCCTTTAGCATGGCTCGGTGATGTGCGAGTGTGTTGCGCGTGCCCGCGCATGTACTCGCCTAGACATGTATGTGTGTGTGTGTTTGAGGAGTCTCATCAAGCCATATCATGAGCAGACACCTCAAGTCAAGTCAAATCGTTTGGTATGCCAGTTTCAACAAGTCGTGTCTATCTATCTATCTACCTCTATATCTATCCAGCTGGCTTTATCTAGAACTCTCACCTGCACCCTCTCTCTCTATCTATCTATCTCACTTTCACCACTTTAGAGACAAAAATCGATTCCGGTTTTGCGGGCCTCAATGTATGTGTGTGTATATGCAGGTAATCGTACTGGTTTTAAGACATCTTATACATAATCCTACATATGTGAGTACAAAGTAATAGTAGGAATAAGGAGAATGATGTCGATGACCATAGCGGATTTCCGGATGATGATGATGAAAATGTTGGCCGTACAACTAATTAGATCAATGATTGGAACTCGAAGCACCTTAGGGTGGTAAACGGTATCCCATATTTGAACCATGGTTAACGCAGTTTTCTCCTATGTATATTGTTATTGTTTTCAATGGTCTGCAACTTGGTTTTTGGGGTTGATGCTTAACCAGCTACGTAAAGATCCATCTTCACATGACTCTCAAGATTGGTAATCTTCTGCATAGTTCTTTTCATGACCGTAATTCGCACAGTAGTCATTTGTCAACAATGTGCAATGCATCACAAAAGACTGACAATGACAGTTTACTGAGCTTTTGGGTACGTTTCAGTGGGAATTCTGGAAGGTAAACATGGCATTCTTAACAGACTCCGGTGCATCTTCTGTATCGAAATAGCACAATGTAATCTGAAAGTTGGATCCTGTCCAGTGGATAGGGATCAGGACCAAATGAACGAATTTTACAGTCTATCCGAATCTGATATCTTTGATTCGCTTTATTTTTGAAACGGAAAACAAACATTCGATGCGTAAATTGTTGGCAACGAATTTACGGCACGCGCATTTCAAACGATTATCCCTTTTCAAAAGAATGTAACTTAGCTCATTGCGGTATGCAAGTGGATTTGTAGAAATTCGTGTTACATACTATGTCCAGGAATTTGTTTTGTGTTTTTCATCTTCTGAAAGAAACGAGTATTTTCTCAATCTATCTATTTAGCAACGCCGAGGTATCACGCAAAGTGTTCACATTCTATCTACTGTCGTCATGAACTTATAAAGTAAATAAATAAATGCACAAACGTTCGTGAAAACACGAGAAAGTATGCGTGTGTGACAGAGAGAGAGAGAGACAGCAATGAGATTTTACCAAATCACACCGATTTCTTTAATATAGACACATTTTTGCTGAATAGGTTCATGTTGAATTCACTCTGTCGTACAACTGAACGAAGTATCATCACTATTCTGCGTAGGCAGTCAACACCCAAATGTATTTCAGTTACACACGCCCTAATCTTCCCTATACCCA